CTCTCGGGCGGGCCACATCAGCATTAAAGGTTTGCACCACAGAGGGCCGGTTGTAACTTTAAGACTGTATAAACATACAAATATATATATATATATAAAATAATGTTTTATATTACATTATTGCCTCTGCATTGGATTATTATTGGAGAAGGTAATAACTTCATAATTAACTACGTCTGAGAGCAGAAATCTAGGGCAAATAATTTCAAATAATTGCAAGTCTCTTCAGTGTGCATTTCACAAAATGAGATGCATTGTGGGACATGTAGTTTATGGACATCGTGCTTCTGTAAAGTGGCATGAAACCGTATAATAAACGTATTGTATTTTTTGCAAGCTCTTGCGGGCCAAATAAAATGAAGTCGGGGGCCGGATTTTGCCCACGGGCCTTGAGTTTGACACCCCTGCTTTAGAGGGAAAAAAAGCTTTTCTGCAGGTTTTCTGACTTCTGGCCACCAGGTGGCGCTTTTATGTTGATTCTGTTTGAAAGAACAGAGTCTGTCTGGCACCACGCCATGAACTCTGTGTGATGAAGCTGCTCATTTTATCATGAAGAATAAGAGGGGGGGGAGTTGTTAATTATTCCTCCCCGCCGGCCGCCTGCTCCTCGGCTGATCTGTCGTTTCCTCCATTAGCCCAGCTATTGTTAAAGCAATTATAGAGGTGTTAATGGACGGTGGAGGGCCCATTGGCATGAAAAGCGGCCCGCAGAGAGGATGTGGCTAAATGTGTGTTGGAGAACATGGAGGACCTTAAAGGAGCATTACACCAACCTCAGATGCGTATTTAGAGACAGCTGGATGAGTCATGGCCGAGATACAGAGCTCAGCCCTCAGTGTGTGGGACAAAATTAAATACACCCTGTTCATAGAGCATCCATCTGAACACATATTGCATGATTATCATACGATCAGATAACAGTAAATACATACAAAAAATCAACACAACATCATCTCCACCCTCCAGTTATTCTCTATAATCACCGGAAGTAATTAGTGTATTCCAGGAGAGCAGACAAATGTCCATCCATTTTTTATCTTGAGCAACATAAATACAATGGGAAGCTGTGTTCGAAATCCATGGCTTCATATGTCCCACAATCCCCTGAAAGCAACACATTTCTATTTATGTAAAGCTTTGAAACTCCTTTGTTGGAGTTTAGTTTTTGTTAGAGTTTTGGTTAAAGGCCTGTTGGTTGCTGATATGGGAATTAATTCTGCTATCAGAATGGATAAAACATTAATATAAGCTTGGGTTAGGGTTAGGTTGTTTACTTAGAGGACCATCCTTGAATGTATCTGTCCAGGTTTTAAATATATCACATGAACCTAATTGTATAACTTCTGTAGAAATGTACTCACACAGGCGAATCAATCCCTCAAACTACTTGATATGTTGTTTGTCATTATTGTCTGTTTACTCGTTATGATGATTATGATGATCATAAACTGGAAGTCACAGCTTTAAGCAGTGTCCACATGAAGAAAGCTCCGGCTTAATTACATCATTACAGACACTGAGGTGTTAGCTCATTCCAAGTGTTAATCGATCTGACTGCGTTTTGCAAACAGGCGATAATCGCTGAGTGATGGCCTGCAGACCTGCTCTGACTATAGGCTATATGTTGTGTATAGGCCTATATATACACACGATGTTCTTATTATTTACCATCAAAGGATCAGCCAGTGAACCACCATTTTATACAAAGGCAGGAAACATGAAGGTTCGCTGGCTGATCATTTGATGGTAAATAATAAGAAAATCGTCCTCTGGTTGATTTGGATGGATTTAATCCTCAATATTTTTTCCCGTGAAGGCAACACGACCAAAGCAAGAGATGCACCAATCATGCTCTTAACATGAAAACACTTTACAGATATAAAATGCACCGGGTGATGCTTGTGTTGTTGCATCTGCGCGCTCATGTGCCTTCCTGTTATTTCTTATTTCCTCGAGATCTTTTCTCACTGTCTAATCCCGTCGCCCTCCCGCCTGCGCATCAATTACATGTTCATTGACTGGCCATTGAGAGGCATTGACATTCACAGGCCTCCGTCTGCAGCCAGGCCGATGTGTATTCCAGCACACAGGAGCCAGGCCTATATGCATTACAGGATCTCATTATTTATTGTGATTCTCTGCGACGGCGCGCTGCGAAGGCCTCTTTGGAGAGAAAAGGTTCCCATGGAAAATGGTCACAATTACGCACGATTGATCCAAGAGAACTGCTTCCTTTGTGTTTCTTCAAATGTTGATGGTGAGTTTACCTTATTGCAGTGAGGTGGCATACTGATGGCAGAGTGCATCAGTATGTGAAGGGTTATTATCAGTGTGGGAACCTCGAGGGGTTCTCTGATTGGATCTCTGATGTTCTGGTATTCAAATATTTCCCTGACTATCTGACAATCAGGAAAATATTTGACTATCTAACCCCAGAACATGTAATAAGTTTTGCTGCTCCAATTAAACCCTCAAAGAACGCAACATATTCATATTCAGATTGTAGGCTGGGTTAATAGAAGTGATAGCCGAGGGAGTTAACAACTTTCACGCACCTCAACACACAAAACACACAACAGACTCTCTTTACCAAAAACGTATTCAAGATAGTATTTGTTCCAAAAATGCAATATTATGTGGAACAAGTCGTTTTATTTCCTTATTGGAAATGTAATTGTATTTCCAAAGCTGCAGAATACAATTGAAAAAATAATGAATGTGTTATGGTTGAAAGGAAGCACCATTGCAGCATTTGGGCAAATTATTTAATTGATCCCATTTATAGAACAAATATATAATTTCAAAATCGGTTTGATTATTAACTTGAAAGCATGTTAATAGTGTGTGTGTTGGGGGGGGTTGTGTTATTTTTGCAAGTATGAGTGGGGATGCAATATTATTGAATGACAACCAGTTTTCATCAAATTTGTTGTTCTCTGATTAATGTATTTGTCTTTTTTCGGTATAATTTTTTTTTGAGCAAGTGATGTGATTTTGTGTCATGTAATGTAATTCAATCCCTAATCATTCGGTAAACATTAAATTATACCAATAAAAGCAATTAATGGGAACTTTGCAGCTATTTTAAAAGGAACAAACTCTCCTCAGCTGTGCAGGATTATGCGGTCGCAGGTCCGGGTGGCCCCACTGCAGCCGCCGGCCAATATACAGCACGCCAGGGGGCCACATCGGCCTTTTTGCGGGGCCCTTCCTGGATCCTAACACGGTATTGAAATGTCAGGAGTGGGGCGGGCCCCTTCGGCTCCCTATAAGAAGAGGCGTTCAGGTTCCTCTGCTGTATTTGCGCGCTACACCTCCGCCTGCATGCTGCGTCCCGAGGCCCCCGGACAGGAAGAAACGGGCCACCAGAACATCTGCAGACATAACAAGAATATGTTATGAAACAATGGATGACTGACCAATAAGAAATATTGACTCTACTATTCCCAGGAGCAGAGCGTCACACCATCTGACTTTTTTTTCTCGAACTTTTGATTCTTCCTAGATATTTTCTCCGCGTTTCTTGGCAAAAGGAGACATCTGTCTGCTTTGGGATTTTTTCCCCCAGAAAACTTCCTATTTTATGAAGGATTTTATATTTATTTTCTAGATAAAAGAACGGTCATAGAAACTTGATTCTCCTCCAAAGACTTGTGTTGGGGATGTTGAGCTCTGTGAAGATGGAAGCACATGATCTACCTGAGTGGAATACTTTCTACAGCGAGGCCAGCGAGGTAAAGACACGTTCACCATGCAGTCAAATATATCAGCAATACAAATATGTTTTTATGTCCTTTTGTTGTTAACAGCGGCATGAGTTTAAGGGTTTTAATGCCTGTGAAAAAGAAAAGACACCATTTTATTTGCGCACTTTTAGAGCAAGACTGTGCGTAAAACAGCTGGAATCTTTTGATAAATTGTTTAAAAATAAATGATTAACATTCAGATCTTACTATCCCGAGAAAATATTGTATTATTAGGCCTACCATAATACTTTAATACATGTTATAACAGAGACATGTCATATCAAGATGCACATTTCCCCATGGCTATAAGAATAAAACATGTTAACAGGGGTAATGACTATCAGAAGAAAAAGCCCATAATCGGACCCAATATTATTTCTTATTCAGTAAAAGAATATATATTTTTTAAAAAGACCATTGAAAAGGATGAAAAATAGAAGAACGCTAAGTGGTTTTTTCTCACAAGCCTATCAACTGTTAATTCGAAGTTTCAATTGAATGTAATGATTGGGACCTAATATAAGTACAGATCTTAACTAAAACAATACGAAAAATGAAAAAAGATGAGTGTTTTGCTCATAAAAAGAGATTATTCTTTTGATTCCATGCAGCCGCGGAAGTGTTGCAACAATTCAGGTGTAAATGTAACGAGACTTTTTTTCTCACTAATTCAATTAGAGTTAATTCCATCAGCAGCTTCAGCTCTCACCTCTCCCTGATTAAATTAGCGAGAAGAAAGAGTCTGATAATATTTAACCAGCGAGCAGAGAGCGGGCCGAGGGACCTCCTGTCTTTCTGCCTGGGATTTTAAAATACTTATAACTTTCTGTCAAAGAAAACATCTGGAATTATTCGTCCTTGATAAACATAAAAAAACATAGAACAATCAAATTCCTCCACTTGAGTTTAAAAAGTAGTTTACTTGTTTTTTCCATGGAATCAGCGGAGGAGGCCGTCTGAAGGAGACGCCGTGACGAGCTTTTTACGCATTTCAGGTTAACATCGCTGTGTGAAATCCATGTCCTCTCCGCGGACTGAGAGCCTCATTGTGCATTGATAAGGAGTCACTTTTTGAATAGAGTCAAGACGCTTTGCTTTCACATTTAAACATTTACTTTAAATGCTCTCATTTCAATAAATAGCAGGCTATAGAATTGAGTGTTATTTGGTTTCTAAATGCCAAATAAATAAAAGACAGAGATACTTCTTTATATTTTCTCATTTTATTTAAGTATGTAATCTGTGTTTTGTTTGTAATTAACCAGATGTTCTTGTGTTCCTCTCTTCCTCCAGATGTATTCCCCTGCCAGCACCATGAACTCCGGTCTGGGCTCCATGACCTCCATGGGCTCCATCAACAACTACATCAACCTGAACCCAGCCACCGCCTCCCCCGCAGGAATGAACTTGGCGTACCCGAGCTCCAGCCTCAGCAGCTCCCCACTGGCCTCCATGGGCTCCGGGCCCGGCCACATGCCCCTCTCCCCGGTGGCGTCCTCCCTCAGCTCGGGCCCCCTGCACCAGCTGGGCAGCGCTGCCCCGGGCTCCCTGTGCTCCCTGTCCCACTACCAGAACATGGGCCCGTCCATGAGCCAGCTGGGGTACCCCCCCACTGCGAGCCGGCCCGGGCCCAAGGAGATCCCCCCGAAGCCCTACCGGCGCTCACTGACCCACGCCAAGCCGCCGTACTCCTACATCTCCCTCATCACCATGGCGATCCAGCAAAGCGGCAGCAAGATGCTCACCCTTAATGAGATCTACCAGTGGATCATGGAGCTGTTCCCCTACTACCGCGAGAACCAGCAGCGCTGGCAGAACTCCATCCGCCACTCGCTCTCTTTCAACGACTGCTTTGTGAAGGTGGCTCGCTCGCCGGACAAGCCGGGCAAAGGCTCCTACTGGACCCTCCACCCGCAGTCAGGGAACATGTTCGAGAACGGCTGCTACCTGAGGCGCCAGAAACGCTTCAAGATCGAGGAGAAGCTGGCAAAGAAAGCGAAGAACCAGGAGGGGAAAGGAGGCCATATTGGAGACCACCTGGGGGAGGATCACAGCCCCACAGGGGGGTCGGAGGGCGCTGACTCAGCCCACTCAGACAACTCAGACGACCAGCCGCACACCCGGAACTCCCTGGCTCCTCTGGACTGCCCGTCTCTATCCTCCTCACACCTCCACAGCCCCCCCATCTCCCTGCCACCCTCCTCCTCCACCTCGTCCTCCCTGTCCCTCTCAGCCTCCACCTCCTCCAACCCGCTCCTCCACTCCCAGTCTCTAGTGGGGGGCAGCGGCCACCTCCTGCCCAGCACCATGCAGCAGCACATGGACCTGCAGAGCGACGCCCTCAAGTCTCTAGACCCCCACTACAACTTCAACCACCCCTTCTCCATCACCAACCTCATGTCCAACGAGCAGAAGATGGACCTGAAGTCCTACCAGGACCAGGTGATGGCCTACAACAACTACGCCAACGGCTCTCCTGTGGGGGCCAAGCAGATCTATGACAGCCAGGGGCCCACCGCCATGGACTCAGGCGCTTACTACCAAACTCTGTACAGCCGCTCGGTGCTCAACGCCTCCTAATATGGACACTCACCTCCCCCCACACACACACGTCTGTCGAAGTGAGCCACGGTGGAGACTTCTCTTTCCCTCTGCCTAAAATGGACACCCCAGCTCTCTTTATCTTCCTCTTTCTCTCCCTCTCTGGCTCCCGTCCAGTGGCCTCGGCAGAGACTCACATCTAAAATGGCTGCCATGTTTGAGGTACCAAAGAACAGTTTTTTTCTTCGACCAGCTCTGCGGAACATGGAGACTGGTCGGTTACATTGAGGACAGAAAAGTGTACCTGGATGGTAGGAAGTCCTAACTGACGAAGACTTTGGTGTCTGTGTGTGCGTCGATACAGAAGTCAGATCCTGTCTCTGCACGAGCACTGCACACGCTGAAACTGGCTATGTACAAAATGTAAATAGAGGTAATGTGGGGGGGAAAAGGATATTTGCATTTATTTATGAAGGGAAGACATTTTAATATATCTTGTATAGCGCTCTGTTGACCAGTCATAACCCACGATAGGGTTTCTTAAATCCAAAGACGGAGAGTTTCAGGTTACTGCTTCAGGCAGGTGTTACTGCAGTGAGAGACAACTTATTTTTGTGTTACAGCATTTCATACGTCCATCATTTCTGTCCCATTCATCAATGTAAATGAAGCTGATGAATCCTGTACTTTTTAAAAATGGTTTGTTATTTTGGTTGATATGAAGAAGACCATTTTGTCCTCGATGGAGCACAGAGAAGGCTCGAGGCAGAGTAACTGTGGTAAAGACTAAAAAACATGTTGTGTCAATGTTTTTGTTACTTATAGGAGAGCATTAATCCCACATGCTTCTCTACAGACTGTAACATTTGGATAGCAGATAGCTGGTGCGGCGCATGGGGGAGTTCAGTCAGTTACTTAAACAGTCGGAGGGGAGGAGAGATGCACTATGGGAGGATTTACATACAGTACTTTGCACTATGGAGCTCCCACTGGCCAGGTGGGCTGATAGTGTGTGTGTTTGTGTGTGTTACAACAATACTTAGGAACACCCCCTCTACAATGTCAATGCATCAGCCCAATGGGATCCGTGTAACAATTTAAATGGGTGTCAAATAACCCTCGCTGTCCAAAAAAGTGCCTTTTTTTCAAATGACTACTGATCTGATCAGAGATCAATGTATGGACCACCTATTGAAGGATTATTCTGATAAACAGCAGAAGTTTCAGGTCACATGATGTCCTTTTTCTTTTAGTTCAAAAGAGAAATGTCTTTTATTTAAGCAATATTGCTTTTCAAACGTTGGAAGTGTGCTGATATAATATATAGTTTTGTGTTGTTGTTGTTTCTGTTGGTTTAAATGTGATTTAAATGATTCATGTTTCATTTTTTCTTATTAAAAAGGCAAAAAATGTGGGAAGAAGTGCTGCTTGTGTTTTTTTTCTTTCAATCATTGTTTGTTGTCGGTGAGGTCACAAGCCAAATGAAACAACAATTGTTTCACCGTACATAAAGTGTATTTTTTGGGGCAAAGGTTTATCACAATCTTAGTTTGTTGCTTACTTTCACAAAATAAAACCACAAAAAGAGACAAACTCTTTCAGGTTTTAACATGTCAAATTAGGTAAGACTTGTAGAATATTCAAATCAAAATAATGTCTTCCAAATCGCTTTTTTCATACTTTAAAAGCGTTTCGTCATCTTCTACAAATATTCTGCAACAAACTTTTTCGTCACCTCTGCACAACATTTTTTAAAAGTCAAAAAAATATCCGGTTACTGATCACGCAGCGCTGCCGACAGGACCTCGTGACTCCTCGGGTCGATCAGTCAATCACAACTCTTCTTCACTTGTCTGGCGAGGAATAGCAGCGTCTTGTTGAAACAGCTCCTGACCAAATGACTGTGGTGTGTGACATGTAGGACTGGTAGACTAAACACGGCTGGATCACGCTGAGAGCCTCAAAGCAGAACTCTGCAGTCCGGGCCGCACAGTGAGGCCCAGACCGCTCCAAAAACCACTGACCTGCCGCTGACCCGGTCCAAACAGAGTGGAAGCAAGGTCTTTCTCTCAGATCCTTTTTTGTTATACCAAACAAACTGTAAACATGCACTGAAAAAACTGTTAACAAATGTCTCATCATTTATTAGATTAGTTAGAATAATATTAGGTTGGACCTAGTAGATTTTATTTAAACTTAATATTATTGCGTTCAACTAACATAATACAGTTATGTGAAACCTGTTGACATGATATAATCAATTAAAGTCAATGTTTCAGTGTGAAAAACATCTCTTCCTGTAAACATCAGAGGAGTCTTTAAACAAACTTCTGTTATACCCCACTGTCAGTGTTTGAAAGTACATTTACTCAAGTACTATACTTAAGTACAATTAAGAGGTACATTTACTTTACTTGAGTATTTCCATGTTATGTAACTTTAACATTTTACTGTATTTTGGCAGCATATATTGTACTTTTTACTCACAACATTCATTTGAAAACAATAGTTTTGCAGGTAAATTTTATTAATTTAAAAATGAAATCCACTAATACGCTTTAATGTATGGATGGAGATACCTTGTAGTATGATCATGTATCAATGTTTTATCATGCTTTAACAGCTGCTAAATTAAAATGATAGCCATGAATGCATCACTAGTTATAAAACAATATAATGTATTTTATTCCAAAAATGGCCATTTAGGATAAGGACTTCTGTGTTATTACTTTTACTATACAAGATACTTCTTCCACCACTGCCCTCTGCATAATATAACGACTATGTATGCAGGAAAAAGCAGATCATATCTTTATAATGCTTTGAAACATCTGCAGGAAAGAAAAGGGAATGTATTGATCTTGGTTCCTGCANACTCAACTATATGCTGCTTCTAATAAACATGTTAAAGAAACACGTGAGTTGTCTGACTGAAATGAAATATCCAGGTGTTACATTCACAGTTACTCCATAGGAGCATCAGTGTCTGTGTAATGAATTGCATTTCAGTTCATTTTCTTTACCGTTGTGTTTTGTGTCTTCCCGTTAATGTATTTAGTCCTGGTTTGATTCTTTATCAAGAATATTGTAAATATGTGTTATACCTTTAAAGGCAACTGCATTCTAACTCATTCAGGTGGCTTATCTATTTGGTCCATATACCTAATTTACAGAAAATGAAAGCTAGGTTTTCAGATAAAAGGGTAAAATGTTGAATTATGTTAACTAAACTCAGGATCACATCTTGATGCTATGGAGTAACTGTGAATGTAACACCTGGATATTTCATTTCAGTCAGACAACTCACGTGTTTCTTTAACATGTTTATTAGAAGCAGCATATAGTTGAGTTTGGCGACTAGGCTCGGGCCTCATCCCTCCCTAGATATACATAGCACGATGAGTGATGATTAAATAACTAACCCCCCGAGCCTACAGGTGAAAGCTGGGGTGGTGGTGGGGCAGCAAGCAGCAGCAACATAGAGGTAGCTGCAGCAATAGCAGCAGCAAGCAATGCATGGAGAGAGATCTGACAGGTTAAATAGAGCGGTATATTAGGAGACTCTGTTATGTATGAATGCAGCATAGGTGCTCGAGTTGACTGCCTGAACTAGCTTGCGGGCTTCGCCCCATTTGTAATAAACCATGTTGCATGTACATGATGAAAGCCAGCAGGACCAAGTTCAAGATTCAATGGTTTGTATCACACATGGACTTCTCTGTGTTGTCATCATCATGTTGTTTTCTTTCTTTAAAAAAGTAGCACATATTCTACTAATAAAGGATTAAATCTCCATTTGTGTTTAAAAATAACGCAAGCAAAGCAAGGTTAAAGGCTTGCACACAATGAAATACAATCTTTTTTGAGAATGGTCATGGAAGTAGATACACTGGCAGAAGTGGTGTATCACATTACATCTGGTGTGGAGTTGACAGAGGAAGTGTGGGGAGGATCCATTTAAGTAAATTAACTAATACACAGATCACCTTAGTCCAAAGAAAATAACACAACACATTTCACTTTTAACAAAAAGGCACTTGTTGTATTTTCTGGTCTTGCCCTTGTTAGCAGGATATCTGTATTTGATATTGAAATATTTACAAATGAAAGATTGGACCTGTGCACTCCTGTTTGGTTGTTCTGATGCTTCTCTTGCACCGCCACATTGTGTACAGCAGACCCTTATTATCAGAGAGAATGATCCTCATGAAATTTGAGGCAGCACGCAAAGAGAACGTGATTAAACCTTACATCTCCGATTTGTTAGCTGAAGTCCTTACTGTGTGATGCACTGTTGTGTTGGATACACAGTTATGTAAAGTTAGGCTTTTTCTCTGGTAGTCTGGTTCCAATGAGGGTTGTGCAAGTTTATTTCTTTACTACATGACTTGATAACTTAAAAATAAGTAAATTATACTTATCATAGGCTATGATAGTACATACAAATTAATGTAATTAAAGTAATCCTAAGGCTGTGAGGTGGAAAAAGTGAAGAGATCTTAATACTTTCTGAATGCTCTGAATATGAATGCCCCAAAATGTGTCATGAATGGGTCAGTGTACTGTGAACTCCTCATGTCATTAAAAATGTGTCCAAAATCAATTGTAGCTATGGTCCCTGTATCCAAGGGCTTCTCCAAGGTAACAATGCAAGATTACAAAATCAATACTGGACTTGTGTTCAGAGAATCAACTGAGTTCAATGAGAAATAAGATATTACGGGTTATGGGTTCATCAGGAAACGTGTCTAGTGAAGTTTGTAATCATTATTTAAGTCATGACACACTTTTATCTTGATGAAAGTTGTCCTCAGTATTTAACAGGACTAAATATTCAGCTCAAGAAACAGAAAAGAGGTACAAGTTTCCATCCCGTTTATTCCTGGTTTCTATTTTGTACATGAAGCTGCAATAAAGCCAACAGATCTAGAGATGACACATAAAGAAAGGAAGAGATGTGAGGAGAGACCGTATCAGGACAATGAATGGCCGGCCCCTTTACAAAGGCTCCGATCAAAGCAGAGCTGTGTCATGGCGACAGCAGGGACACAGGTTAATCATTGAGCAAACAATAAAAGAAGCCACTGCACTTCCCCTGAGGTTCCCAGACACACAAACAGACGGTAAACATTTAAAAAGGCACTTAACAAGGGATTGCATGACGTATCAGTGCATATTAAACTGAAATTCCACTTCTTCAAATACATTTGTTCTACAACACACCTGATCTGTGGGATACTCTTATCAATATAACAGTATTTGCTGCATACTGTAGACTTTTAATATGAAATCCCATTATTACAGTAGACCACGTGGACCTGTAAACTGTAACGGCTTGATGAAGAAAAGCCGGTTAAGACCTGGCCAAGAAGTATAGCAATATATATAGATTTCCATAAAACATTTACATCCAGAAACATCAATTTGGGCGTACAGTTACCTTTGGTTTGTCTGTGCTTCTGTACTGCCGAGTACATGTAGCATAAAGAAAGAATCCCCCGAAAAGCTAATTTGTATAAAATGTGTGACCAATTTTGGATTGTTCAATTCATGAACATTAAATATTTGTACATTCTCTGGCAAGAAAAGTGTGATTTACAGTATGTGTGATCATCCATGAATGGTTCTATGGATGTGAATGGAAAGCACATGTCAGAAGACTGTGATTGATTCAAATTAAGATCATTAATGTCACCATGTGCTGAGTTCAACCATGTTTAAATATGGACTGCGTTCCAATAATGTGATCGGAAGTCTTGTGTCCATTGGGAGAAACAACAATTCTGCTTTTAGGTGGATTCTAACTTTTAAAAGAACTAAATCTTTAAGAAATGATAAACAATCAGTTTTAATTACAAATGTTTGCATATGACTAAGGATTTCACAAACCATTAGATCTATACAGTATATACTAACATTGAACATTCTAGTATAAAATAGTCCTAGGCCTATCAATAGATATCTTCAATATACATTCGGGGTAAAGCGTAGGCTGGGCTGGATCTTGTATGAAAGCAACATTTAGATACAGTTACACACACCGAGTCTCTGTGGCTGGCCTATGCTCCCACACACTCTCCTTTCTCTGCGTCACTGTCAGCTCTATTTAACGCCGACATAAAAAACAAAAAAACACAAAAAGAGAGATGTCATTACTGGCATTATGTCCATATTTCATGTCGTTTTAGAGATTTCTTTTACTATTTTCTATAAAAAAAAAGGTTGTATGGCAGGACACAGATTCAGTCATATAACATTAAAACATATTACATCTGTCTTTCAAATTTAAGGTACACTTTTCATTATAACAGTCCATTTGATGGATTTTACGGTCAGTTGTTCAAGTGAATTTCATTCCTACACGCAAAAATGTTTTGTTTGGATCAAGCACTGGCAGAGAC